ACTACTATACTCATGCATCTCTCCAGATACAGTTTGTAATCCTATCTCTCAGTGGCTCTCGCTAGTTGGTTTCCACATTAGGCATGATAAATGCATTTAGAAACTGACAGTAAAAGATTAATACGCTCATAACCATCAAAGAGGACCTTTCACTGATTTCAAATAGCTTGCCCTCCCTTCAAATGCCAACCACTACCCCATCCAATTACTTACTCACGAATGCTTCCTCATCTGTTGGCAAACGCATTGACATGCAGAAGTATGTATCAGACTGTTAAAGAAAGAAAGACAAAATTCAAATTAAATTGCTGCTAGTCAAGAAGAAATAATAACTAGTCAAAGCATAGGCTATATGGCAGAGAAAGAACTACTTAGACCAGACAGGTGAAGTTGCCTGCCACACACTGGGTGCCAGGTTCATAAAGGGGCTAATGCTAGAACTTAGGTAGTCTAAAAGTTTTTCTAAGACTCTTCAAATCCTATTTATAAAACCAATTATCATGAGCAGTATTTCTAGTATGGCACAGTTAAAAGGCAACATTTTAGATGCTTATATGAAGAGTGATACAATTTATTAATGCATCTGATTTTAAAATGCTAGAAAATTGGTTTTGAACATATTTGCTATTTGAAAAATTAGGAATTTAATTTCCTAATTCACTTTACAATTGTCCAAAATGTTAACTAGAAAAGTACAATGAGTAAAAGTTGGTGTTAAAATATATTATACTAGAGGCCTGGTGCATGAAATTCATGCACAGGGGAGGGGTCCCCTTAGCCCCGCCTACACCCTTTCCAATCCGGGACCCTTCGGGGGACATCCCTCTCACATCCTGGACCACTGGCTCCTAATCGCTCACTTGCCTGCCTGCCTGGTCTTCCATAACTGCCTGCCCCCCTGCTGGCCTGATCGCCCCTCACTGCCCCCCCCACCCGTCGGCCAGGTGGCCCCCAACTGCCCCCTCCCTGCCAACCTGGTCGCTCCTAACTACACCCCCCCGCCAGCCTGGTCCCCCCTTACTGCCTGCCCTGCCGAACTAGGCACCCCCACTACCCCCTCTGCCAGCCTGGTCGCCCCTAACTGCCCCCCCCTGCTGGCCTGGTCGCCCCATGCAGCCTGCTTGTTCAGTCGTTTGGTCGTCCCTCACTAACCCCCCTGCTGGCCTGGTCGTAGGTAGCCATCTTGTGAGGGTGTGAGGGTTAATTTGCATATTACCTCTTTATTATAGAGGACTTGATTGTTCCTCCTTATTTTAAACATTTTATGTAGTTTATTAAAGAAATCAACATTAATTCAATTATTCTTTCTTTTCTAGTTATTGGTTTTTTATCTAAATGACTACTTTTCTGCTATCAAATATATTAACATCAAGAATTTTTAGTAAGAAAAATTGCAATTTAAGGGGAATGAGCTTCTTTTGATCTATGCATTCCTCTTTCTTAATGGAAATCCATATTCAGGGAAGTATGTGCTATGGTTGATAATATACCAAATACAAATAGAGACAACTCATTTAATAATTCATACTTCATGGATTATCACTGCACAGTGCTGGATCAAGAGACTACACATCATGAATAGAGATCATTTGGGTTTCTCTAAACCTACTGGTTAGCATCAAAAGATTGCAGAATTGTACCTCTTATTTTATTTCTGTGTTGGGATTCAAGGAGGTTCAAGTATATTATAATTTGAAAAATGATAGAAATATGGTTCAGTCTTCATTTCTACTTTTATATATGCCATTTTTTCTCATTTGAGAAAACTGTTTCATTTCTTAAAAGACTTCATAATTATTTCAATTCACTCTTATTTTGCTAAGAAGGAAATGTTGAAGGTTTCACAGTAAGGAGGTTAAGCCACATAAATACAGGAGATGTGAACTGTGTATCTAAAACCCATGAAATATACTGGCAAAATCATGCTCAAAGATCTCACAATCATGTACAAGATTGCTCATAAATATTTTCCAATCTCTGAATTACTAATTTACAAAATATTTCTACTCTATTCTTACAAAAAAATAATAAGCTCAAGATTCTTTTCTATTTGCTCATCCTTGGCCATGAGTAAATCACTACCGGAAGATATTTAGTGGCTACTACAGCTGCTATTGTTACCATTACTATTTCTAGCCAACAGTTATTGAATGCTTATAATGTACCAGGCATGGTTCTCAACATTTTATTTGTATTATATCATTTAATAAGTAAAGCAATCCAATATGACAGATAATCCGTATTATGAACTCCATTGTAAAGATACTAAGACAACATTGAGAGCTTATTATGTGCCACTACTGTTCTAAGCACTTTACATGTATTAATTATTTTATTCCTTAAAACACATTCTTATGATATAGGTAATGTTGTTATCCCCATTTTAGAGATGAGGAAACTGAGGTAAACCAAGGTTAAGTAACTTTAGTTTGTTCTAACCAAAACCTGACAATAGGCAGATAGGCTTTTGAACACCCTTCTTATTAGTGCAGTTACTTAAGAAAGCTGGCAACTAATCTTTTCTCTGTCTCTTTGAGATCTAAAGCTCCTACCACCTGGAACTGTCTTCTTACACTCAAGGAAGTAATTCTGCTCTGATTCTCAGCCAGTGAATGCCTGTTCTAACTTACATCACTGCTTCCTCTCATAAAGATAAGAGAAGTTTGTTATTCCTCTGGTTAAGTGCCAAGTCACATGGACCAATTACCCCAAAACCCCTCAGTCCCTATCTCTTAACACACCCAGCCTTTAAAAGGTCTCCTGTCTTTTGTGTCAGCAAAGCTGAGTTCAGTTCACACCTCTTCCCTATTGCAATAGTTAACATTGAAGAAGTCTGCCTTACCACTTTACTATCCACCTAGTTTACCTGTGACACTAACAAGTGCAGGAGCTGGGATGTGATCTGACATCAGTAGTCTGACTAACAATGCATTACAGATCATTCAAAGCAATGTGAACAATAATGACTTAAAGGCAAATATTAAAAAAATAAATTTAAAGTAGCAAACTATATATTTCTAACAAGAAAGGATCCAAAGGTTGCAATGTAATGCAAACCAAATAAAAGTTGTTTTAAATTTAGATTAATACTTTTGGTTTTATTTTATCTTTGATTTTATTATAAGCCACTTCAAGTTGTTTTTGGAATAGACAAGTTATGGCCATAAACAGAAATATGAAATTCAGCAAGTGGGTTCTTTTGATAAAAGAAAAAAACAACTAAGCAAAACAATGGTTACACACATAAAACAAGGGAAACTATTACTTATATTGAAAATTGATCTGATCCATATAATAATTCTTGTTCTTATCATCAGCTAAGCAATTTAAAATGACAGAATAACATGGGAATGTCTTTCTTCAAACAGTTTGTATTTCTTGGTTTATAACTTTTGTATTAATGAGAATGTATTCAGATTTCAATGGTTTCTTTACTGTTATGTTAAAATCAGTTTAAAGAATAAAAAAGTAGAGAAAGAAAAAGCCTTGACTGGTGTGGCTCAGTTGGTTGGAGCATCGTCCTATACATCAAAAGGTCTCAGGTTCAATTCCTGGTCAGGGCACATATCCAAGATGCAGGTTCAATCTCCGGTAGGGCATGTATAGGAGGCAACCAATCTATGTTTCTCTTTCACACTGATGTTTCTGTCTCTCTCCAATTCTTCCTTTCTCTCTCTCTAACTCTCCCTGTCTCTTTCAAATCAATAAAAACATATCCTCGGGTGAGAAAAAGAATAATAAGAAGAGATAAAGGAGATACTCTGCAGAATAACTAGTCTGCAAAATTATTTTGTGAGAGCAAAGTCTAAATTAGGCATTGCATCAATGGTCTACCATATAAAGGGTGTCCCAAAATTCACGCAAGAAGTAATTTTGATAGAAAACACAGGTTCATAATTAAAAATTGTAATTTTTTTATTGATTCAAAAAGTATACAGTATAGGGTTATGTATGGAATAGCACATGGGTAAATGGCCTCTATGGCTTTGCTGGCACATATGCATTTTTTGTTGAAATTTTCCATGACCGTTTTGCATAAATGTGGCTGAATTTCGATGAGGCTCATTTTTATCTTGATGGCTTGGTTAATCGACAAAATTGTTGCATTTAGGGTTCAGAAAATCCACTAGTGATTGTTGAGAAACAAATGCATCCACAATGTGTCACTGTTTGGTGCGGATTTTGGGCTGGAGGCATCATCGGACCATTCTTCTTCAAAAATGCGGCTGCTCAGGCAATAAGAAAAGAGTGTGTATGTGCCAGCAAAGCCATGGAGGCCAAAATGTGCTATATTTCATACATAACCCTATACTGTATACTTTATGAATCAATAAAAAATTTACAATTTTTAATTATAAATCTGTGTTTTCTATCAAAATTACTTCTTGCGTGAATTTTGGGACACCCTTTACCATTATACTACTACTCTGAATGAGAATTTTACTCATGAGCCATTTTTCAAGATAAAGAATAATTCTGCTAAAATAAAAAAAAAGTAAAATTAAAAAAAATAAGTACATTAAAGATACAGTGTGGCCCAGCTGGTGTGGTTCAGTGGTTGAGCACTGACCTATGAACTAGGAGGTCACAGTTCAATTCCCAGTCGGGGCACATGACCGGGTTACAGGCTCCATCCTCGGTGGGGGTGTGTTGGAAGCAGCTGATCAATGATTCTCACTCATAATTGATGTCTCTGTCCTCTCTCTCTCTCTCTCTCTCTCTCCCTCTCTCTCCCTCTTCCTCTCTAAAATAAATAAAATATATTTAAAAATACAGTGTGCATCAAATCAATAATTAGCTTTCAGCTGAAAGCTCTGAAGATCACAGTTCAATAGAACAGGGACTAGCTAAAGGTATTTAATTCTTTTTTTCTGCAATTGTAAAAGGTACCAGTAATTTTGATCTGGAGTATTCTAGTTCCATAGTTTGGTTTCTAGGATTAGGTTGAGAGCTTAAGATCCAGGAGCTCAAGATCCATGTAAAAAAAGATACACCCCAAAGGGTCATTTACCTGGCACAATTGGAGAAGCCTACTCTTAAAGATGCTGCAGGGCCAGGTTCCGTCTCCCTTTGGCCGGCTGAGTATGAGTAAGCACTCCTTCTTGTTCATGTTCTTCTCTCAATTGTTCCCTGAATGGTCTAACAAGCACTGCAACTTTTTTTTTTTTACAGAAATGGGAACTAAGTCACAGAAATGTTTTTGATCTACCTAAGGCCACCCAGGTAGGTAGTGTCAGAGTTAGGAATAAAAGTCTTTGAGTTTATGCCTTC